ATTCTAGAGCCTTCTAATTTAATTTGTTTTGCTCTCATTATGTGGCTGACTGGGTGACATTGCCTAACCGCGTCAGTTGCCACCCAAACATAGCTTGAAGTATGGAAGGCAAGTGAGTTTCTGGGGGGCATACATGTGGCTTATGATCAGAGGTCAAAAAACAGTTTCCAAATAATTCTTTGAAAATAATTTAATGGAAATACTGTAATAGATAGTTTTAATGAAAATAGTGTTGCTTTTTTTTTTTTTTTTACCGTCTCAGTTATTTGACTTGTATACATAGTAGTTATGAGAGGATGTGAGTGTCCAAAGTCTCTGTGTATTTTATGCTGGGCAGTGTTTACTTGTAGTTCACTTCAGTGTAAAGGGAAGGGAGAGAGAGAAATGATAACATGTTATTTTCAGTATTTACACAGTGTCATCTGGTCTCCCACCCAATTCCTTCAATTGTCTCCTAGATTAGAACCAAGTATTGTTCCTATGAGGTGTTTTTGTTTTTTTTTTTTTTAATTATTTGTTTGTTTGCTTTTGAAATTTCAACACCCGTCTTCCCCACTGCCTACCTTCCCCCACTTTTGGAAGTACGAGAAAGCGGAGAGCAGGGGGCATTGTTTAACAGACTGCGAGCATTCCAACGATATAGAGTCCCCTTTGGAGGAAAAGAAAACTACACCAGCAGTGCCCGAGCCTTTACCAGCAGTTGCTGCTGCTGAAGATGCCTCCCTCCTCACTGGTACTAAGGAGCAGTAGGGCCCATGCTAGCCACGTTCAGATGGCCAAGCACAGCTGTATTTCTGCCACTCAGGCAGGTTGGTGTGCACCTGGCATGACCACACCCCACTGGTATCAAGAAACAGCATATCCTGCACTGCTTTTGCTTTTTTTTTTTTTTTTTTTTTTTTAATTCATGCTGATCCCCGAAAGCACAAATAAAGAGTGTTAACCGTGGGTGCACATGTGTGTTTAAGTTTGGTTTTTTTTAATGCAAGCACTCTTTAAGTGCCTGCCAGAAGTTTTATTCGAATCTCTGATCCCTGAAGGCAGCTAGACGGAATCATTCTAGGTCTTCATAAATTGCCTCCCGTGACTCATTGTGAGCTCACACAGCTCCATGCAGCACACTCATCTCTGTACACTCAGACAGTTAACACAGTTGTAGTACAGGGGTAATTTTTTTTTTCCTTGCCTTATATTTAAATTGTCTTCTGAGGGAAAAAAAAAATCAAGAATTAGCTTCAACTGCCAGATGAGGCACAGGCCCTTGTAAGCTACATGAAGCATCAGAAATGAATTTTTATCTCCAGGAGGGTAGGGTGGGTGTCAGGGGGGGGGGGGGGGGGGAGCAAAGTTTAGTTTTCATCCAACACTTTCCATGAGAGCCCTATAAATATAAGACGGCCGTAGTTAAAAACTCACATGACTGTTTTAAATACTATTGATTTAAACCACTGGCTGGATTTTATGAATCAAAGTGTAATTTCTAAGCTTTGGCCATATTTCTCAATGCTAAACCACTCTCTCCCGTGTGCCTTTAGCCGCTTTCCAGACATTCAACACGGGATTAAATGATAGCAGTTACAGTGATCAATAGGTGAGGGCTGTGACAATCACTCTTGCCGTTAATGACCTCAGTAGTAATGGGTAATAAAGTGTGGGCTGTAATAGCCCCTCGCTGGTACTGCATGCCCTTTGATTCCTGGTATTAGCGGGGACTATCTACATGGGAAAGCTGGACGCTGGGAATTAGGGAGTAGATATAGAGGCCATAATTCTTAAGTATTTAAAACCTTAAATTGTGCTCCATTTCCCCCCCCCCCCCTTGTTTCTTTTCTATCCCTCTGTGGTTTCTGGTCCACTGGGGTAGTTTTCTGAAAACTTGCTACAACCTCTTGTCCTAATAGGGGAACAGGAACTTAAGGGGGAATGGGCAACTAGAATCTTGTTTTACCGCATTTATTATATGGAGCTCCCTTGCCCACTCTGGCGGCTGGAGCTAACTGGTGTGAAACTGTGGTTTCAAACAGTAAAAGCAAAGTTCAAGCCATCAGGACATAATGGCCCACTTCTGATTACTCGGAGACCGCTCCACTAGTTGGAAGGGTTACTCAGGCTTCTTGTGCCTGTCCCTGGCCGGGCTGCGCCTGCTGCTTGAAGCGTTTTATTACTCATCAGACCCTCCATCAAAGTGTCCAAAGGGAACAAGCAGGAGAGAGTCAAGTTCATTCTCCTGTTCTGCAGCTTGGCTGCCAACAATAAAGAAGTAACTGTGGGAAAAGGAGCTGGAAACCACTGGCTCTCTGCAAGGACTTAAAATTACCTGCACCTGTCAGTCTTTCCATGGTCACCCTTTATTAATTAATTAATTATTATTATTTTATTGACAGTTAAGGGACTGTGGTGTTTCTGTCCTAAAAAGACACATTTTTACCATGCTTAAAAATAAAAGGCTTTGGAAGTATATGATTTCTTTAAAAACAAACTCCAGTAAGGAACACATTGCCTACAATGGCTTAAATCACCTTTATTAAAGCATAATGTATACACTTCTACATAATGTAGAAGACACTCTTTATCTAATTGGAAGAGATGTTACATTCATGCATCTGTGTGACCCCTGTAGTGTTTCTCTCATCTGTCGCCTGAAATTTGCTGGTGTCCCTTCCTAACACGGGGGCTCCAGACCTCTTAAAAGGAGGGGGAAAAGGAGGAGGCGATTGTTTCTGCACTGTTTCTCTGCCATGGCTCTGTTAGGTTTGTGTTCATCGTCAGTTCAGATATTACACCACCCTGTTCCTGTGTGTTTTCCTGTCCATCGCCATTAGACATTTGGCGCATGAGTATTTGTGTTGTACGTCATCCAAGAAATGCAGAGAGAAAAAGAAATCTGAAACATGGCTCCTTTGTTTGCTTCAGCAAGCCTCCTGTATGGCTGTGTGACTCTCAAGGAATAGTAAACTTCTATTGTGGTATGTTGGCTTCAGGAGCTCCGAAGATAGCAACTGGCACCCAGTGCATGTTTTAAAATTCAGAAAGTTTCTTCTGGATGAAGACAAAGTCGACTAATTGGAATTAATGCGTAGATGGTTAGATGTTTTGATAATGTCTTCTTGGCGTTTGCCCTAGACTGCACGCAAGTTCAGTGTTCCAATCATTGGTGATATTTCATGCTGTGAATTATCTTTTTAAAGGGATAATTTATCCATTCATATACATCTGTCCCTTTTTGCATATAAAAATATTCAGACATACCCATCTGTTTTAAATTACAGTGTAACTACATCTACACTTAAAAGACCACTGCACTAGGAAGAATTCACGGATGACCTCCCCGAGTTGGGTTAATGAAATTTTTTGAGTGTTCTAGCTTGTGTTTTCTAAACACATGAAGTTCACACACGAACCTCCCCCAACTTACCCTCAACACACAACACGCTACCACAACAGGGGAGAATGCTCACTGGACGTGAATCTGACCTTCAGGAACCATTTTTAGTTCATCAAAATTAGTGATGCCGAGAAATCGGGACATCAGTGCATAATGAGTGTGAAATTAGGAACGAGAGCTCGCTATGCAAATGACAGGGCAAGTCATGTGAAAAAGTCAAGATAAACTGCATATTAAGACATTATGTTACATAAAATTAACACTCCGTTTCTCTCTTTTGCTTACTGTTCCCCTGAAAGATTTTTTTTAATTCTTTTATCTTTTGATCAGCTATTGTCTGCAAGATTTTTTTTTTTTTTTTAAGAAGTGGCACACAGGCAAAGTGCAAAACATGTTATTACCTTTTATTGTAATACATGAGATGACAGCAGACCCTTTTAAACAAAGTATATATCCTTTGCAGCCTCTAGCTTCTTGGCTATCATATTTGCTTTAAAACCAAAGAAGGGTAAGATGCTTAAATATTACTCTTAGAAGACATTCAGCTCTTTTCTTTTATTGCATTTCTGTGTTTTTTTTTCTTTTTCTTTCTTTTCTTTTTATGGGGGGGTGATTTTTCATGAAGTAGTCTTCTTGGAGTACAGGGACTGACAAAATGGTTCTCATGTAGCCTGAAAATTAAACACAAGTGCGGTGATTATTTTGAATAGCTAAATTACATTCTAGAAGGCTCGAAGAATTCGTAGCATTGTCATTAGGTATCCGCTTGAATACAATTTGTGTAACCTTGGCCAAGACAGCCTGTCATTTTAATGTCAGTGTTTTATCTGAACAAGACATCATCCTTTCAGATACAGTGTGCAGGTTCCTTGCAAAGATGCCCGTGCAGAAACGTGTTAACAGTTGCAAATACGAAATGCTATCAAGTTCATCACTGTAGCTGTTTGTCACTGAAATGTCATGGAAAGCGGCTTTTACCAGTATCACACGTAATATGAAAGAATTGAGACATCTGTACGCTTTGTGAATAAGGAAGGGTAAAAGGCATCCTAGGAAGGGTCTGTGTTTTAAGTTCAGAAGATGTGTCTAAGGTTCTGCCACCTGCAAAGCTAAGCATCCTTAAAGATTCTGAAAATCACTGTCCACAAGCGAAGTGGGTCATGCTAACTGTGGCTGCAAAGTTGTTTGTTCCTCCTTAATTTCCTCCCTAAAACAAAATTAAAGTGCAGGCTAACTTCTTACAGCTCGTTTTGACTAGAGAGATGATATTAATAAGGACAAGGATGGATCTGTCCCTAATCCTGATAACATTTGTTAAGGTCTTCCTTCTCTGCTTGTAAGGTTGTGTAGAGCCCATCCTGGCTGCACGATTTTCTTTTATGTTTCTTGACTTGCCCAGCATATGTGATGCCCTGGATTTGATACCTAGCAACAACATCACTATAAAATTAATAATGATAATTGCATGGGGCTTCACATAGGATCTGTGGATGGATCTCTTTACCACAAGTACATCCTGCATGGGAAGTTGGTCAACCCTTGAAGCAGGCTGAACCTGGGAGGCCGAGGGTGTGAGGCTTGCTGGCTCCCTGCTTACCCTTCATTAATGTTCTAGGTTCCCGTGTCAGTGGCTATGATGACACCTCAGGTTATCACTCCTCAACAAATGCAGCAGATCCTCCAGCAGCAAGTGCTGAGCCCCCAGCAGCTCCAGGTTCTCCTCCAGCAGCAGCAGGCCCTCATGCTTCAACAGGTAACTGTCCTCCTCCCGCCCGCCCATAGCTCGGGTCCCAGTGCCCCTCCACCCACACACTTGCTTTCCCTGTTGAAGAATGAACATGACTGGCTACCTGGACCCCGAGTGATAAGGGTGGCATCCGTACCCATGAAGGAGTGGACCGATGTCACAGGTCCCAGGCCTCAGGTCTGGAGACCGCCCCATGCCCTGCGGTTAGGGCCATAATTGGACTTGGTGGAAAAAGATCTCTCAGGCTTACATGGCTTTTCACTCTTTTATTTGGTAAGCCAGGAGGCTTCGAGGTGACATGAGTCAAAGCAGCAGGAGGTACACATTGGAAGCAAGTTTATGCAGACAGCTCTTGAAGTCCCATTTCAACTCCAATGCTTACCTTTAAAGAATTTTTTTTCTTGGGCATGTAAAGAAGCATTTCGGAGTTCATCAACCTCAAAGCACAGAGTTTACTTTTCATACACGTGCTGATGCTCAGATAAACTTGTGGCTGGCCTTGTGTCTTGGGGACAGAATTCTCAGACTTAAGAAGCAACCTACGCCCAACTGATAAGGGTAGGTGCTACAGGGATAGAAATCACTACCATATAATGGTAAGGATAGGACTCAGGAAGTTCCCTACACGGTGGAAGCATCCAAATCTGGGACCTTCCTTGCCCCTCCTCCCATAATTTAGAAAGCCCAAACTAGAGACTAAGTAGACCCTGCAAGGGCATCTCAGCTTTGTTGTACAATCAAAGGTCATCCCTTGCCTTATTTTAATTAATTTGTGTAGAAAATGGTATGTTTTTCATCAGTTCATTTTTGAGATTACTTCTCAGGCCTTAATGCCAAGAATCGTCAGTGTGCGTGGAATTTATTGTCGGGTTTCAAAGTAAAAGGTCAGGGCATTCCAGATAAAAGGATGCTATTTTTCAAATCACAGTTTGTGCATGGCATGGAGAGGGACAGTCGGTTGCGGTATTCAGTTACTTACCGTCCCCTCCTCTCTCTCTTGTAGCAGCAGCTTCAAGAATTTTATAAAAAACAACAGGAACAGTTGCAGCTTCAACTTCTCCAACAGCAACATGCTGGAAAACAGCCGAAAGAGGTACCGATGATGCATATTCTCCTTTCCAACCACAGATCTCAGGGGACTATCTAGTGGCTATGAAACTGTCATTCATCTTTTAAATGATTGCCCAACTCAGCTGACTCTGTGGGTTCTCAGCTTTCAGACCAAGAGTTATTGTCCTGCTTGTGCTCCGATGCCTCGATCCCTTACTTCACATTACCACAGCAGTGTACCTCTGTGGGAACAGCACCATGAGCCGAGTTCTGGGTTCCTGTGATACAGCTGAGGACCAGCATGCAGCTGGGCTGGGGAGGGTCAATATTGGAAGTGGGTGCACACTTCATTTTTTCCATCATACAATTATTAGTTTGTTTGCTTGTGTTATGAACTCCGTCTTTTGGGCAGGTGGCAGTGGCCTTTTCCATTGGCGCACTCACTTCTTGTGAGGTCAGGCAAGCAGACAAGGCATTTAGAAGATGATTAAACATCCCTATCTTCATTTAACCTCTTGCAGGTTGAGCATGTCCTAATTGCCTAATGTATGCATTATATAGCATGAGTTAAAGGTAGGGGACTGTGGCTTGGGTCTTTTGTACTTAACGGTGGAAAACAAAACAAACAAAGCAAACAACAAAAGAGCCCCCAAACCACCAAGCTATGTTTATTTCTGTGTCCTAGTTCTTTGTAGCTTTTATGATTTATTGCACTTGGCCGCTCTGCCCAAGCAGGTGACACTTGTGAACCTATACACTGTGAGCCCTTCCCAGGGGCTCCCGTGTCACCTCCTATATGCTGCCATGAACCCGAGGGTGCTGTCACTTCTGGGAGCCCAGGGGGAGCCCACGCTGCCGAAGTGTTAGGATATCCCCCACCCTTCCACATTATCACAGTGGCTCAAAGCTTTTTGCCTAAGTGTCTCTCCTTACTGCAACAAAATACACAATCCCACAGACAGGATGCTGCCCTCTGTCTTGGCATCTCTGATAGCCTTGCACAGTTAGCCACTTTTGCTCTCGCGGAGGGAGTCTGGCCAGGTGACTGACTCCACATCCGTGTTCCTCCCATGGGTATGGATGTGCTGCTTTTACGCACAGGAGGCACCCAGACCTCTCTCCCCATGCCGGCTCCTCCCTTTACACCAATTGGGTATGCTTTCCATGCTCTGCCAAGTTTCCCCACCCGGAGTCCTGTTTCGCAGGCCGCCTGTAAACCCCCTTCGGAGCAGGGGCAGTTTTGGGGTAAAGGGGAGGAGGCATATTAATGAAAATGCTGACACAACCTTAAGGACAGTGGCTCGCTACCGGGAGCTGCTCTAATAAAAAAGGGAACAGATTAAAAAGTGTCTAAAATGTAAATCTAAAGGACTAACAGTAATTAAAATGGAAATGGCACGGGGAGGGAAGGCATGTAATTGTGAGATATCACCCCGCAGAAGGCTCTCAGCTTTGTTTTCCTGGCTGTTTTTCTAATTCAGCGGGGCTTACTCATCAGTGGCAGTTCAATGCGCCTTAATGACTCTAGGATTGCAGGCATCACTCTGGACAAAGAAATGATTATTGTGCGGTCAAAAGAAGTTCAAAGACAAGGAGGGAATTTCAGTTTTTTCCCTTAGAGATCCACATTCAAGAGCATATAAATTAAGCCAAATGTTAAAAACCACAGTCTGAAAGCTGACTTCAAAGTCACAACTCTCTAATTAATGAACTGCGAGCTTCAGTTTGGACAAGTTGGGGTTTGATGCGCCCATAAATCAACATGACAGGCCTGTTTCACAGTCTCAGACAGTGCTTGTCATTGAGTCACATCAGATGTAAACACAGCAGAAAAAAGAAGGGCTATGAAGGAGGGTGCAATTGATCAACAGAATTGGTAAAAACCCACTTTTGAAGCGCATTATGCATGATCACAGGAAATGGTTACAGCCTCAAGAGGTTTCCCCGTCTGCTGTTGCTTTTTTGAATCAGATTTCTCACAGCCTTCAAAAGGGAGAAGAAGAATTATGGAGTTTCTCCCCCGTGGCTTGCAGGCAATAACCCCCTGTTGTTATTTTGTGCTTCTTTCTTTTCAAAGGCATCAAAATTTAGTTTTTTAAAGATCTTTAACTCTATATTTGAAGACACACTAGAAAGGGCCGCCACTGTCACTCTTATCAGTTACCAGGGGCTGTGTTCTTCCTTCCCGTTGCCACTTCTTATTAACCTCTTGTTTGGTCTTGTAGACAAGAGTTTGGAAAGCATATCCGCGTGCTGGGAAGACATGAAAGTTCAGATGAGCTCTGAGGGCCCCAGAAAGAGATGGAGTGGGGGAAGTTCCCCCGGCAGAAGAGTTTCCAATGTGCTGTTGTCGGGAAGCACGATAGTGACATCTGGGTTTGGGCAGAGAGTGACCGTGAAACGAGTATGCTGTGTCCACAGGCACTGAGGGTTAAAGCACCGTGGTGGCTTTGTTTGTTTGTTTGTTTGTTTTGTTTTGTTCTTTCATCTTGAGGACTCTGGGCTTGCTCTGGCCCAAGGCTTGGTGACCCAGGAGATAAGTGACCTCAATAGACCGAGAAGGAAGCAGGCAAAGTGGAGTCAGACCAGTGCCCTTAGGTTTCCCTGTGTGCTCCTCGTGTGACTGGGCTGTTACCCAGTAGTTAGGAGATCCTGCTTCTCTGGGATATCAAGGGTTCATGTCCCGAAATCATCAAGCAGCCGATGGTCCTTCTGTGCTATGGTGAAAGAGTCACGTGGTGGCCGCTGTGTGGTGTGGCCCGGTGGTGATAATTTTGACGAGGCTTGTTTGAACGTAGACATCGGCAGATGGAGCAAGTGTGTTCCTTTGCCGAGTGAGCTGTCATTAGTGCCTCATTTTCTACAGTCAGGTACTCCCTCTCTTGTCCTCCCCTTCCCCCCTTTTTCTTTTTTGGTCATCTTTGGCCTCATGGCCAGGGCACATTGCATTTGCTGTCTTTCTTCCTAAAGTCGTTTTTGATACCCCCTTGTGGAAGTTTCACGTCACATTGAACCAGACCCAAGGTGCTCCTTTAGAGATAGGCGCTTGCTGATGCTGTCAGGGATATAGCCCAGCACAGCCGTGGAAGGAACAGCTCCTGGATCCTGGACTCAGGGTGGTTGCAAAAGTAGATGACAGAATTCATTTTAAAATCAATCTGGGTGTGCATGGGGGTGGGGGTTGCCATCCTGTGTGGTGAGGTGGCAGAGCTGATTGTTTTAAAAGGGCCGTTTGTCCTGGGCGGTTATGACAGTTTATGTTAGGCAGTAGGGAGTAGCCAAAGAAAGGAAAACAGACCTTTGACTGCAGCTCTAGGGAGGGGACCCGAAACGAAAGGTTTATCAGGGCATTTGAGCATTTTAACACTGACTGCTGACCTGTCGGGGGACTGCGCAGGGACCTTTTTTGTATGCATTCAACTGTGAGAAGTAAACAAACGGACTCGTATCCTGTGTTTGGTAACTGGGTGGGGAGCACACTTTGGCAACCAGTGTTGCTTTTAAATTCTTCTTTGGACAATGGGCCTTGTATACTTTTATATCCTGGCTTTTCAAACGTGGACAGCTTTCATGGGCACTTTCCTAGGGATGGCCACAGACAACAGAAAAAGGCATCAGTCATTTCATATAAATACACAGTTTTTAAACACTCACTTACAGTAAGACAGGAAGCACCCTCCCCACCTCCATCACCCCTTTGTATTTGACCTCAACAGTGGCTAATTCCCCCGTCTTTGACTGTGTCCCTGTCCCCCTTCTTTAATGTCATGAGTTAATATCTGTTGAAGAAGTGAAAAAATCCTTTTGACACGAATATAACTATCACTGGGTTTCACATTAATGTGGTAACTTGGGAAGGGGTGAAAACAATTGGATCATTTTCTGCATGCTGTTCTTAAAATGAAAGTACTGGCTTTTCATTTAAATTTATTTAAATTTTTGTTGTTAGTGGTATAGAATTTGTTTTTTGGAGTGAAACTCAATTAACTTTCTCAGTGGCGTGGTGGTAAGTCTGAAATTGGTTACTAATATAAGGATGATGGCTTTTTTTTTTTTTTTTATAACTGTAAAATAAACTACATGGAGGCCAAAAGGAAACCACCATTTTTCTCTTCCTTTGAACTTTGCATCAGAAGGTCTTGGTTTACACACCATTTTATGGCCATATCAGATCAAGGTCATAGGTTAGGTTAAGTGAATGCAGTTGTTTGTAAAGTATTGTTATTAAGCAGAGAAGGCAGGCTCTAAAAACACTGGGTCATCATCTCATTGCAGAAGTGTCGCTGACCTTTGGAATAGTGTTCCAAATTAAGAAGAGTTCTTGTGTGTTCCTTAAAGATTGTTTTTGGGGGCAGAGGGGGTGGGACTCAGTTTGGAAAGGGTTAATTTTTCCTTTCTAATTGTTCGCCATAACGTAGCCAAGACCTCCACCTCGATATGAATCCTCGCAGATTAAGGATATTAGATAATTTCCTTCTATTTATTGTATTCCTGCACCGTATTATCTTTCTATCACTCAGATAATTACTGAGGAAATCTACATTAATTTTTTTTGGCTGGGGCGAACGAAGCCTGCTAAACACAGGAATGCTGTATTGATGTTTTACACAACAAAAGTTTTCCTCCTGTCGCTGTCCAGTCAACAGAGATATTTATCATATCATAAAGCCCCTCCTTTTCAAGAACAAAGCGGGCGGGAGACACTGGACAACTGGAAGTGGAAATTCAAACCAGCCTAAGGATTTAAAGCCTGGAGAGTCCCGCTTGCATTAAGCACTCATGGTGGAGTACACTGTTGTTTGCTAAATTATGAATGTGTGTAATTAAAATCTAGTGGCTGTTTCTATGAAAGATTTACAGTGTTATTTCATCGTTTGTCATGGCTAATTAACAATATTAGATGAAGTTTTTCTTCTTCAAAGGTCTGATTTTTTCTCATTTATTTATGTCAGAAGTGATAAACAGTAGTTAAAGGCCCATGCTGGTTCAGGCAGGGAGGGAGGCACCTTGTTCTTTTACACCTCAAGGGTTCAGGGTTCAAGTCCCTCTAGAAGGATGCAGTCTCCTTTCCAGTGTGAATAATTACAGATTTCAGAGTCTCAAAAGTTCATGTCTTGACTACAGAACTCAGGCTTTTCCTATTGTTCGGAAAGCAGGCTTGTCAAAGGAATCCTTTTCCTCGGCCGGGGTAGGGGTGGGTGGTCAACATAAGAGTTAACACAGGCCCCCCCCTCCCCCTCAGCCTGTCTTCAGGAATGGCACGCTATTCCCCTTTTAAACCTTGACATTGAGCCCACCACCAAACTGAGGTGGCAGTCCTCCGGGACTTTTGAAACACGTACACTTTGAACCATCACTGGGAACCGGCCATCTCATTTCTGCCCCTCATTGTTTTCTTGCAGCAGCAGCAGGTGGCTACCCAGCAGTTGGCTTTCCAGCAGCAGCTTCTCCAGATGCAGCAGCTGCAACAGCAGCACCTCCTGTCTCTGCAGCGTCAAGGCCTTCTAACAATTCAGCCGGGGCAGCCTGCCCTTCCCCTCCAACCCCTTGCTCAAGGTACGAATCTATACTCGTTGCGCTGGATTACATGGGAACCAGCTCCATAGAGAGGGTGGGCAGAGGGGATGGGGTGTCTCTTGATTGCTGCCTGCTTGGGATGCAGGAAATTGCCCACCTGAAACATGCGCAGAGAGACATTAGGCAAATAAACAACAAATCGGATGGGCCCTTGCAGAGCCTGTTGAAGTCAGGAGAAGAGTCCGGGAATGCTTGCAGGAATGGGCTGTATCACAGTGTTGGGAAAAAGGAAATCAAATATCAGTGCATTCACTGAATGTTTCAGGGCAGTCCTTTGGCATTTTGGTTTCGATGTTCTTGAAACATACTATGTAATCATGTTACAGCATGTTTTACAACATGGGAAGTTCTTTTCTTCTCTTGTCTCTGTCTCTGCGCGTATACCTTCTTTTCTCCCTCCCTCCCCTCCCTTCTTCCATCCCTCTCGCCTTTTCTTCCTCTCTCCCTCTCCGATAAGGTCTCCGATTTAGTTCAGGCTAATCTAGAACTCCAGAATCATCCTAAGTCCCAGGGTTTAGGTTTGTGCCATGATGCTGAGTGCCTCAAAACTTTATTACTGTATTTTTATTCGTATGGGTGTTTTTCCTACATGTATGGCTATGCATTATGTGTGTGCCTGATGCCTGTAAAGGCCAGAAGAAGGTGTCATACATATCCTCTGGAGTTGGGGTTACAAACACTTGTGAGTTGCCATGTAGGTGCAAGGAATTAAGCCCAGGTCCTTTGGAGGAGCAGCCAGTGCTCTTAATTGCAAAGACATTCCTTCAGCTCCCTAGCACCATTTTTTTTTTTAATTACTTAGGCATACTATCAGTTTTTATTACCAGGATGGATGTTGAAATAATCCGATTTCTAAGAATCAGTGGGATCTTTTTTATTTTATTTCTGTTTCTTTTTACTTTTTTTTTTTTTTTTTTTTTTGAATTTATTTTTTTATAAACTTTGATTCCTTGAAAAGACATCAAGTATTTTCGGTGGTTTTGTGAAATTATTTATTTTTGTGTGTGGGTGTTTTCCCATTGTGTACCATGTGCATGCAGTGCTCGTGGAGGCCAGAAGAGGGCGTCAAGCCCTACAGAACTGGGGTTACAGATGGTTGTGAGCTGCCACTCGGGTGCTGGGAATCCAATCTGAGTACTTTGGGAGACCAGCCAGTGCCTTTAACCAACGAGCTGTCTCCCCAGCTCTGAAAAGTATCCATGCGTAGTAGATTTTTTTTTGAAAAGCTGCTGCTGTCAGAGGCAAAGGGAATCTCTAGGTGTTCTTAGGAGACCTTGTGGGTGTAAACAGCTCTGATTTACTCAGGACTGAAAAGGGGAGGGGGAAGGGGCATTAGGAGGAGGGCCATGACTTACGTTTAAGGCCAGTTCCTTTGTCCCGAACACCCGTCTTTCCGTGCCTGTGCAGTCCACACTGAAAGCAGGAAAAAAGGCAACACTGTGCTGAACGGGGAAAGGTGATTTTTCTCGTTACTCCACCAGCAGTACTCCGTAATAGCAGTTAACTATAGTCACATAGTCTTAAGTGCCATAGGTAATGTAGGACTGATTTAAATTTCAGTAGGATATTCATGGGTTCCTTTAAGCACCTCTCTTTTCCTTTCTTCCTCCCTTCCTTTCTCTTTGCCCCTCTCTCTCTCTCTCTTTCTTTCTCTCTCTCTCTTCTTTCCAGACAGACTCTCTCATTTTGTAACCCAAAGCTGGCCTCCAACTCTTATCTCAGTCCCCTGAACAACAGCTGAGATTTTTAGCTGTGTACCACAACACCCGGTTTCTCTCGTACCTTTTTGTATGTGGGATGTGAGCATCCGTGCACCCTGGTATCCACAGTGGGATCCCACAGACACAGAGACAGGCTACACGTGGTACTGCAGACTCACCCCACTTCCTTAAGGCCAGCGATCCTTCCTGCTGTAGTGGGCCTGTGCGCGCCATTGGATGGATGGTAGCTACAGCTCCCTGAGTTTTGGATGGATTCAGTTGCCTCCTGAAGCAGGGTGAGAATGATGGATCTCCTTTGTGCTTCAGAAGAGGTAGTCATTCGTCTAGAAACTTCCGGTGCTGCATGGAACCAGTGAGGTGTGTCTGTTTAGGTTTTGTCTCCGGAGTCAGCCACACCCAACATCTGTCTGTGGTGGGTTTTGTTGTTGTTTTCTTTACTTTTAATGCTAAGACCTCCCGCTCTTTCTTCCTTTCACTTCCTCCTGCCCTCCCACCTGCCCTTGTCTTGTCTGCCCAGCTGTTTGGTATCTGAGAGGCATCTCCTCCATGGCTGTCCAGTGGGAAGCAGTGAGGACTGAGCACAGGGCAAAGGAAGGACACTTTGGCTAATGCATTTTTTGTGCTTGCATAATGTTATAACCTGCATTAATTACACCCTATGGTTTATTGTTGGAACAGTGGCAGGCTGCTCTGACACACCCACTGGACTCAAGCTTCACTCGCTCTCAGCCTTTCCCACCGCTCCTGTACTATTATTAAGTTTGCTCACTAAGGTTCATTGTTACAGTACATCGGTTAAGCTGTCCAAAAGAGGGCAATTGGGCAGTGACAAGACAAGCGCATGTGTGATGTGGAAGAAATGAGTGTGGTGGTGCATGCAGTGTAATCTCCACAGTAACCCATCAGAGACACTGTCGGCAATTCACCAGTCATGGCATTGATTGATATGCTTAGCAGTCTGCTGTAACTATTAGCGCCTGCAGCATTAGGGTGAAGGCTGTGTAAAGACTGAGAGGTGTCTGTATGTGCATCCAAGATGGCATGAATGTAAACGCCGGTGTTGCTGGCACTAGGCGCTGGGCGTAAAGTGGGCCACAGCCCTTGCTATCTCTCGTGAAACAGGAGCTCACACTCTGGGCTCCCCAGCCTCCCCTGCAAAGTGTCTCAAGAGCATTCAGTCACGTTGAACTACAACACAATTCTTTTTTATCCGAGAGATGATGGCTTAAAACTGATGTCATTATGAGGTTTAAATCAACTTTCTGCTTGCTTGAACATGGTCACCTGGGTATGGATGTACAAGGACAAAAAAAGGTTGATCAACTGTTTGTCTTGGAGCCAGTGATACCTGGGGTTGTAAAATTGAGTTCCACGACCAGTAATCTGTCAACTGTCCCCACAACATACATTTTTTAAACCTGTGCCTGCATTTTCTTTTATAATGAAGGGGCAGGTTGTCCCAGGGCAGGGGCGGGGGGTTGGGGGAGAGTAGATACAGAAGAAGAAAAGAAAAAAAAAAAAAAAAGAAAGAAAAGAAACATGGTGAGAGACAATGATTGGGGGTGTTTGAAAGTGCTGGCAATGCCTACTCCATAATAAAACTATCAGGATTCTTCTGCAGCTCGTTCATGGCCCCGCTTTGTTACTTTAAACCTGTGTGTAAATCTGATAGTAGAGGGATAATAAGTGGTATTTTAAAGTCCCCTTCCCTCCTGGAGATTTTATTCGTAGACTGTTTTCTTTTGGGATTGTTCTAGAACAATCACTCTCAGCCTTCCTAATGCTGCAACCCCTTCTTAATACAGTTCCTCATGTTGTGGTGAGCCCCAACCATAAAATTATTTTCGTTACTGCTTCATAACTGTAATTTTGCCACTGTTATGAATCATAACGTAAATAGCTGATATGCAGATAATCTTAGGCTGCCCCAAAGGGGTCGTGACCCATAGGTTGAGAACTCTTGCTCTAGCGCCTTCTCTCTGTTGGCCATAATAAGCCTATCTGTTCTCACCCAATTTTACTTATTATTTGATTTTCTTTAACTAATAGTTTCATGCAGAAATATCTTATTTCTGTTACTTGAACCTTTTAATTATTTAAAATGTAAACTCTACATACCTGGTTGTATACCAATTAATGGATTTGTCTAACTTTATCCTCTTACTATGCTGTTCTGGAAGAAACATGCGGTTTCTGAAAATGGAACATCCATGTAGTCTGATGGGTCACCACCTTGGCTGCTTGTCCGTCTTACCTCTGTCATGAGGTGTAGGCCTTCTGGGGTGGCTAGCAGTCACTGAACAGCAGTGAACTAACAAGGAGGAGTTGAGTCGACCACCTCTGCCTTTAGTCTATTGAGAGTGCTTCTAAGCCTAATGATCACATTGACATTTAGCCCTAACGCACCTGTTGTCACTTTCTGAGTCAGTCCCTCTTTCTGTTTGGTCCTTGTGAACGGTGAACCTGATTTCCTAACCTACTGGAATAAAAGCAAACCAGAGTCTTCACCAGTGCACTGAGCAGCTGTAACAAGTGGTGAACACATTTGTTTTGGTCTTAATTTGCCAGAGGAGTGCTTTCCTTTTGGAACAGCCTCTTCTGAGTCTTGCCTTTCTCAGAAGAAGAAAAGATGTGAAGGCAGCTGTTGGTAGACCCATGTTCTTTCCCTTGCATTTGACCCAGAAATCAATTAGTCTTTGTTGAGAAATAGGTGGCTATTTCTTTTCCTGTGCTTATTCAACTGGAAAATAAAAACAGGTTTTTGGCTTATATGCCTTCATATCAATGCACCCACCATCCACAGACCATCCTGTTCCCCGTTGTTTCAGATGAGTAAACCGTGGTCGGAGGGTCAGCTTTGTTTATGGTGGTTGTCAGTGTGTGGGTCACAGTGGCAGACCTGCTAGCTATAGGCACATCCTGCCTGTCACTTTGAAAGGTGTTTGAAAATAATAGCTCAGATGCAACAAAACCGGACCCAGGATTGTTTCGTGACCTTTCCCTTTGTTTAATTTGCCTCAAGGTTTGATTTCTGGGGACAAGGAATAATTGAATATGCCTAATAACTAAATGCTCATTTGGGACAAAATCCATCAAAATATAATTGGCATTTGATTTTTATGAAGGAAAAAGGAAGCCCACTCAGCTGACAAGGATGCATTTGAAGGATCTCTGACCACTCAGTGTATTATTTGGTGCTTCCTTTATAATATATATTAATTGCAAATACTTGAGCATTTGAACATTTTCCCGGAGCACTGCTAGAAGAGACCAACTGTTTTTGTTACTGCTCCTCTTAGAAAGGCGGGGAAGGTTATTGGTCTGCTGTGCAATAATTTACTCCTCTTTGATATGCAAACGATCCACGGTGAATATAAAAAAATCCTATCAGACTCATTTCACAGTTCTTAACCACTCGGATTCTCTGGAGTCCATCGCCTCATTAGACCAGTGCTCTCCAATGCTAGCATAATTAAAATCTTTAACAGTTTAGCAAAGTAAAGATGTTTGGCTGATCACGTTGAGATGATTATCTAGCCATTGTATTCTAAATGACAAAAATAAATTAAATTTAGACCTTGCCTTTTTTTTATTATTATTATTATGTGTTTCAAATGAATATAATGCACACAGCCTTTTTTTTTTTTTTTTTTTCAATCCAGTACGTTTTGGTTTGGTAAGAAACATGCCTGTTTCGGCTGTTGCTATCTAACCAGAAAATGGCTGGCCTTCTAGGAGAGCTGGGCTCCAGTTGATTGAGACAATGAACTGCAGTCCAGACATGCAGTTCCAAGGTGGAGTTGCCTCGCGATGTTCAGGGTGTGCGTTGCCTTTCTTCCCTCAGAGGAAGCTGTGTCTTCTGCTGTTCTTAGGTGCAGTTCACAGCCTGTCTCTCCTGGGAATGCGTGCCCCAAAGTATAGATTGAACTAGAATCTGGGAAGTCTGGCCTATACAAGCTTAGCTGGTAGGACAAAGAGACAAAGGAGACAGTGGTGCGGTTAACACGCTGATTCTGTCTCATCTTAGAGCAAATAAGGGTCAACAAGTATTTTATTTGAAGACCCCTGTCCATTTCGACTCCATTCAGACAAACAAGAGAACTTTGTTACTCTAAGCATATTCTCCTTTCCATTTTCATTCTGCAATGGCTCATTAGCATTGATCTCAGAAATGACAGTAATAATAGTGTTACTTGTATAAAAAGTTACACAGTCTGCGGTAGACACATCCATCAATTAAGCATGTGGTACTAGAAACCAAAATTAATGAGGAAGATAGGTGTGTTAATGAAATAATCATAGTATAATCAATTTGACTGTTAAAAGTTGAGAAGCATTTCAGGAAGACGGTATGAATTCATAATTTATGTCTAAAAGTGATTAATAAAAACTATATTTAATAACAAAGCTATTTGTCATCATCTAAGAGTTAAGCACAAAAATTACTCATTTTGTGGTTCATTTTGTCATGGGACTATAGTTGAACAAACTTATTTTGAGGCCTCCTTTGTGCCTAGGAATAAGCTAGCGTGTCTCTCCTCTGCTCCTGGAACTGAGAAACAGCCTTTGGATGGTGGGAGTCATACTGTTGCCGAATAGCTGTGCTCTGCCTCCTTTCCAAGTTGCTCTGTGTCAAGAGGGGACTTCGGTGGCCGCTTGGAGGGAGGATGCCCTCATGCCATCACTGCCGTATCTGCCTTTGCAGGGAGGGGGAGAAAAGAGGGTGTGAACACCCGAAAGCCCCCCTAACCCTAGGCTTTGTTTACCGACTCTTTGATTTAATTACTGTTTGAAGAGGACGGAATTAGCCGTTAATTGATTTGATTATCCAATTTGTTTGTCTCAGGCATGATTCCAACGGAACTGCAGCAGCTCTGGAAAGAAGTGACAAGTGCCCACGCCTCGGAGGAGGGTACAGGCAGCAACCACAGTAGCCTAGACCTGGCCAGCACGTGCGTCTCGTCCTCGGCGCCTTCCAAGACCTCCCTAATCATGAACCCGCACGCCTCTACCAATGGACAGCTGTCAGTCCACACTCCCAAGAGGGAAAGGTAGGAGCATGCCCGCCCCTGCCTGTGGTCAGAGCTGGGTGGCTTCCACCTGGAAGGGGCCAGTGGCCTTACCCACTTTTGTGTCTCTGAGAAACCTAATTGCATTCGTGGGGCTTGGATGCACACACGAGTCCTTCAGAATGTATTCGCTGTGGCTTGAGTGTGAAGCATCTAATTATTTTCACCTTTTCAACATGGAGTTAGCGCCTTCTTAGATCCGTATCCACCTCAGGAGCGCTGGCAGAAGTCTAGTAGTTCCTTGTTGGAAGGGTTGGCCCTCAAGGCTTCCAGGCCAACCTTGTGCCCTGCCAGGAGCTCACTCCATGCTAACTGAATGCCATGCGTGTGGGCAATTCCAAGTCCTGGATTGAGGAAGCACAGCACTTAATGCTAGTCTGCACTGCTCTCCCTTAAAGGCCAGGGAACCCATGTTCTTCATCTTAGGTCCCAGAGGGAAGCATGGGGCCGTTTTAGCACTGACACTAAGGAAAAATTTAAATGGTGGTGAGCTGGACCACAGCACACTTTCTCCTGATGGCCCTTGGGTTAGCACTGTCCCAGCTGCCGCGTTCCCGTTTATAAGTTAATGTGTTATATTTTCAGTGCCCTGAGCTTTTGATGAATGGTAGTTAAAGCTTGGACTGTCTTTAAGCTCCCGACTGCATCGTGTTAGCTTAAAGTCCTAAAGAACTGAAGCTGTTTGTTCATGCTGCTCTACCCAGAAGCCATATTGCCAGTGTTGAAATACACTTCAGAAATGGGATATATAATGTTCCTCAAAGGGACCACATTTTTTCCTCTCTCCTATATATGCTACATATAGAGCTTGCAGATATAGAGGGCAAGAAGGCTTACCAAGAATTTGTTAGAGCAAAATATTTATCAGGCCAAAGCCAATTCTGGATTTTGTTTGTAAGTGCGAAAGACACGGTGGAAAAGCCATATTAGAGAAATACTGTCTGAAATAAAACGCACAATTCTGCCTAACTGCGCAGCGCCGCGTAGTCGTCATACTGAATAGATGGAGGCCGTACCCCAGTTGTTTGTATAGAAGTACAGCACATCCAGTTACGAATGGGCCGCAGCCCTCGACAGTGGTAATGCCGCCAGTTGACATGCCTACTGTACTGCTCTGTGTAACTGCTGTTAGTTTAGGATGTAACCCCCGTTGGTACCCCTCCCCACATGAAAACGTTTCACCGTGTCACTGTGGAAGCAACCTCCTACATCATGTGCTTGCGGCTTCCCCTCCTCCCTTGGTTGCGTTATGTTTTTCTTGTGCTTGGTTTGCTACTGGGTTATTTTGACCGCCGCATCAAGTCTGTAGGAGCAGTAGGTAGCTGGCTACACCACAGCCACACAGCCGTGCACACACAGCCGAGATGCACAGTCTGTACCGTTTAGGCCTTCATAGGTGCACGCAGTGATGTTGTGCAAGTCTCAGTATGTTCCTCCCCTGAGCGGCAAACATACTCATACACCTATATATGTGTATCAGATTTGAGCTTAAAAACTATGAGAGATTTTCAGAGACGAGGGTAACACATATGTCATAGCTAATAACTGCAAGATTCCTCGATGATTTCCTTGGAATGTCTCTGGTAGAAACGGAAAGAACTGAAAGATGCTTTAAACTTAGTGGTCTGGAAGGAGTTGAAGAATAGGATGGTGAACAGGAAGGATCAGCTTGGAGCCTGGGCCAAACACAGTCCTGTGTTTCCAGCTTTCCAGTGGTGAAGGATACTTGCACCTGGAAATCAGTTTTCAATCTTGCCTTGGAATCTATTATAATGTCTTTATTACTTTTCTTTTTTTAATTTCCAAGTAGCAAACCTTAGATGGCTTTAAAGGAGAGTCTAGGCTGCTGTTCTTTGTGGTACTGGCTTTCCCTGTCCCGGGGTTGATGATGTCCATTTGCTGCAGAGTGATTGAATTACATCTTTATCCATAGGCAGAGCAGGAGGCCGTGCCCTGAAAAATGCCGACTGATGCACTTAAGGTATTTGTTGCAATCTTGTCGGCCGCTATGGAGACTGCACAGATTTTCTGTGACACAGAAAACTCTTCTTGTTTAGATGCACTGTGCTCAGTTTCATCCTAAAAGGTTATGTATCTGCAGTCTGGTGATAGAACAGCAAGGAAGCAAGCCGGGGAAGAATAGGCCTTTTTGTGTCTTAAGACATGTTTGAGAGAAAGTGGATCTAAGACACAGTCTAATTCCTGGAGACGAAGTTTGTTTGATTTTTTTTTTTTATGGTCCTTATTTGTCTGCACAAATGTTGCATTTAATCTCACACTAAAATTAGACTGTGGATCAGAAGAGAATTGAGATTTCCACCAGCCTGAATCTGGATGTGAGAACAGGCTGCATTTTTTTCTTTTTTCTTTTTTTTTTTTTTTTTTTTTTTTTTTTTTTTTTTTTTTTTTTTGTTACACACGCAGAGAGGAGGGGACTAGGAAATTATATGATGTTAGTGACTCACTTGATTGTCCCATTGTATATTATCTGCTGCATTGCCAGTGTGGCTGGATTCAGAGAAAGCTCTAGTGAAGGCACTTTGCTTTGATCTGTGGTGAGTGCAAGGCCTTGTACATGTCAAGCAGGAGCTTAGCTACAAAGGGAAAGTCCCACCTTCTCCCAGCAGCTTCTGAACTGATTATAATACCTCAGGTTAAAGATGGCTCAGTGGCTTTAAGCTTGCAGAATTGATCATTCAACAGTCAATAATCTCTTAGCCACTTTTGTATTGATACAGGTACTTAAAAATGAGCACTAGCATGGGTTTACCTTATCGGGATGGATACTCTTTTGTTTCTTGGTTTGTTGGTTGGTTGGTTTGTCGGCAGTGCTGGGGATATACTAGGCAAGCAGTCTCCCACTACCCTCAGCCCCTTGTTATGGGGTATTTCTAAATCCCATAGGTGGCAGCCACTTTCCAGAGTAGAAAAGGGTAGCAAAGGAGAAGAAATACAGTGGGGAGGACTGTTGTCACTACCGAAGCATGTTCTCACTTGCACACTGACCCGTCAGGAAAGCTCCTCAGGAGTTCTCCATTCTGCCATGAAAATCTTTTCTCCTTCTCTCTCTAGGGCATCTGGGAAATTCGTATCCTTACTAGTTCCCCCTTGATCGCCAGGGAAAACCCTTTTCCCTCCACCCTCGAGAGCAGTAAACGGAGCAAGCAAGAGGCCTTGCCACCATGCGCAAGTAATCCAGCCTGGCAAACTCTATCCTCACTTAGCAGCCTTTAGGGAGATTTTTTTTTTCCTGAAAAAATCTAGGAGTGTTGTGTGTGAAAAACTGGTTGGAGAGAGAAATAGAGAGGATCGTTTTTGTTTGGAAAGTTGCAGGATGTATATAAGGCTCTTACCTGGCTCACATATCTCCACGCCATTTGGAAACCTCCGTCTTCCCGCTCTTGCCCCGTGCGCTTTGCTGCTTCTCTGAGCAGCCGCCGCCGCAGTAGCTCTGGGGTTTGGTGAGCTGCAATCTGTTAAGGAGATAAATAATGTGCTTGGCACGACACTCCTACTCTCCTCTTTAATTTGTCTTACACAAGGAAAATTATAATTAAATCATTCAGGGTAAACCCTTGAGTGTAGAGAAGGGAAGAAACACACTTTGGTAAAGATTGCCAATAGGAACCCACTTCCCTGTTGCGCAGGGCGGAGACCACCATCAGTATTCAGAGGCGTGTGGGGAGGATCGGCCCATGTGATTTGTGAGGCGGATGCCAACACTCAGATCAAGGCTTGTTAAGATCCTGTCGTGGACGGTCGGCATCGTTAGGATTCAGTGCGGGTGCCACGCTTCCCGCCTTGGGTCCCTCCTGACAATTTAATAATGTTTATTGTGCTGATTATATATAAAGCCGCCGGTGCAATAAACACCCCTGTTGTCAGTGCCTCGGAGGAGCACGGTGGGATCAAGCTGAGCGTGCCCAGAGCTCAGGGAGAGACGCAGGAAGAAGCAGGTGTGTTCAAGCCCTCTGGCTCAAGCATTGCCCCTGTGGAGTCATAACCTCTTGGTAGACAGACGGAAGTGGGACCGAGGAGGCCTGCACACATGAAGACATAACCTTGTTCACTGTACTTGTGGACCGTCTCTCTCCAGGAAATTCCAAGTTTTGGTGTGGGTAAACAGAATCAACAGAATGCAAATGAAACATTTATTAAAATGCTAAATTTAGTAAGCCCTTTGAGCTTCTTGGATCAAAGCAGCTATGTAAATACAAATAGCAATTACTACTTAAGTAATTGCCTGAATTAAAATTCTAAATATCACATTATATTATGGTGCACCAGGGAAGGAAAGGCACATTAAGTCAGTTTCTTCTTGCTGCCTGTTGCTGCCAGACTCCTGCGTATGGAGTGATGTCTCGTTTTATTCGAAGGACTGCTTGGAATGCAGTGGGGACTGTCACCCCATTTTACAGACGAGGAAGCTGGGTTACTGAAATGAAATGACAGCTCTACAGTTATATGACTGATTCGTGCCATAGCCAAGATGAATATTCAAGTCTGACTTTAAAGTTTTTTTCCATTCAATATAGAAGCGAATACTTCAGTAAAATTAAAAACCACTGTCCCTAAGAGAATATTTAAATTTAATTGCATCTCAACCAAACATGAATTTTAAACTGTGATTGTGTGCAGATTGCAACATTTAAAAGAAAACAAGTTTCCTATTTATTTTTCTATGAATAAAAATAGTTTCTAAGTATTTTTATCTTTTATGAAGGGAGGTGAGATTCATAAGATATAAATCACTTATGGTCTGAAATAGTACACGAGGGTTAAAAAAAAAAATCCCCTGCAGGAAATGCACACAGACAAATGCAAGCAGGCCTGTGTCCTTCACAGGAACCCCCCTCACGTTCTGCCCTGCCTTGTAAATCTTGTGTGTCCTCGCTGAACACATCATGTGGTCTTTCTTCTATTTCAGCTGCCTTCTGCAGTCCAAATTAGGAATGTTCTCCCCTCCCCCGATCCTTCTCAGC